CTGATCCCTCACCTTTCTCATCATCATCAAGACTCCACGGGGCCAGATCTTGTGTGGAGCCCCAGACTGAGGGCGACTGATGCTCATTTTGTCTTTATTCTATTTCCGAATAATGGCACCAACAGTTGTCTCCTTCTCACCAAGCTGCTTTCTGGTGGCTTTGTAGCCAATCCCAGCCAAGTGCAGTCATCAGAGGGTGCTGACCTCAGGGAAAATCTTGTCCCTGAGGTCCTTAGACCGCTCTTTAGTCTTGCCCGTGGTGGAGAGGTTGGAATCTGATTGATTGATTCTGTGGACAGGTGTCTTTTATACAGGTAACAAGTTGATATAAGGAGTACTTTTTTAAAGGAAGAGGACTTATTTAACCGGTCTGTGGAAGCCAGAATCCTTGTTGGTTGCAAGGGGATCAAATACAAAATACAAATCAATTTCTATCTTTTATATAATGTAGATTTCTGGATTTTCTTTTTGATATTCTTACTCTCACTGTTAAAATACACCTACCAATACAATTATAGATTGTTAATTTATTTTAAGTGGGCAAAGAAGGGATCAAATACTTATCTCCTCCACTGTATATAGCAAGTATCTCTTAAAAAAACGAATTTCACTTTTGAAAAAATGTGTTTCACCTTACATTGGAGCAGCAGCTTCATCTCCTTTATTCTTTCACCTCTCTTCTTCATATTTTTCCTTTCTTCCTCCCTTTTATTTTTTGCTCCTCTTGCTCACCTTCCTTGCCACCTCCTCCTCCCATCTCTGTTCTTTATATGTAGCTGCATCTCAAAGTCATCCTCCCATCAGCTCTGCATTAGTAAAAGTCTTTAAAATGGTAGAAAAATGAACAGACTCTCGTGTGTTTCAGAGTTGTGCTCGACCTCAGTACGGTAAATGGATCAGCTGTCTGACCACCGACTCAGACTGGATGGTAAGGAACTAAAAAGTATTAATTAATTATAGTTTTATTCTCCTTATGATTACCCCCAATAAAAACTCTTTCAGTACTAATGGTGTGGTTGTGCCCTGCAGCTGTGTGGTGGAGGTCCGTCTCTGTCTCTGTGGCATCTCCGCTCTCTGTCCCCGACCTCCATCTTCCCTCTGACGGGCTGCCAGAGACAGACGTCCTTCTACCAGGACATGGTGAGACCCCGCGTTGCACACACACCGTTACACGTGTTTTTCTGAGGCTTGATGTACCCTAAACACGTCAGTAGATCCCCCACTGGTGAATATGTGCAGTGTCTTTAAAACAGCTGTTGCCAACAACTGTCTAAAGGAGACTACTAAACGTCATCGCATCGAACATTAGCCACCTTTAGCTTAGCGGTGTTGATGTGAAGACGTGACCAAAATGTAATTTGTTTATAGCATAACGTTAGCTTTGAACTTCTGGTTATTTCATTGACGTTTCATCATTATACAAGTTTTATGTGGAGATTAACCAAATCCAATTGAAAAGTCTAAAAGAAAAGAAACATGAAAACATATACTAAAGTCTAAATGTCTTAATCTCTGTGGAATACGTCAGACATGAGAAAAGTAAACATTTACATTTTAACTAAACTTTTCGGTTTCAAAATAAAAGCCCTTTCGTTTTTTTCCGTGGACAATATCTCTTCAGTTGTTAAAGGTGGGGTAGGTAATTTCGGAGAAACCAGCTCAAGTGCGCTAGAATTTGAAAATACACAGCCGGAACAAATCTGCCACTTCCTTACAGAGCCCCTCCTCCAACACACACATGACCAATGAGGGCACGAGATACGTTTGTGCACAGATGGAAGGCTGACAGGCAGGTAGGCCATCCAGTTATTTGAGCCGGACCGGCTAAAATGATTGGTCGTGCTTTTTACAGTACTACGGCTTCCACAGATGACATTTTGTTATGGATTTTTTTGTCAAAGCACTTAAGATATTCATTGCTATCGGGATGTTAGGAGCATTCCATGGAATATAACAAAAAGTGTATCTCGAGCCGGTTTCTCAAACTTACCTACCCCACCTTTAAGGCTTTTATTTGGAAATATTAGCAGGACAATGCTGTGGATACTGTGACTCCTTGAAATAATAAAGTACTAGCTTTTTAATTGTGTGTTATTATTCTTTATTACACCTTTTTATGTTTAAACTGAGTATTAATTAAAACATGTACATCCTACCTTCCTCCTCTGTAGATCCTGGCTGTGGGGGAGGGCCCGTCTGTGGCTCACTGTCTCCTGGGGGGGGAGGTCAAGGCTCAGATCCCCTGTACGCCACAGAGCCTCAACACGCTACAGCTCAACACCAACAGCGCAGAGCACCGGGTGAGACATTGAACGCACCACAAGTTATATATCACAGCGAGCAACTGAACGTACCACAAGTTAAATAACATACATGTTACATCTGCAGTTACTTCATAGTGAGACAGTGAATGCACCGCAAGTTATTGTGTTTTTATTGGTGTATAATATGGGGACCCACAGGTGCAAATGTGCAGCTTCAGAAACGATGCAAATATATAAACACAAATGTGCCAAAACACATGCAAATGAAGAAACATCATCACCAACTTGAGGAAACATCCACAGCGTTTACAAAATGCTTCAAGAGGCTTAAAACACAATGGACACGGTGACCCCAAAAAGAGACGCACACAGCTGGGACCTGAGCGCTTTTTGATGTGCAGGGATTATAAAGTTGGCTGACTTCCCCTGTTGGCAGAGTGAGTCTGTTCCATAGTTGTAAGTGTTTTGTCAGGATATTTGAAAATATTAGGTTAGCTATAGCTAGCCATTTTACAGCTAATCTGCAATAATATCAGAAGCAATCATGTGATAGCTTTGTTGTTGGAAACGTGCTTAACATGTACGTATTATTGGCTTTTTTGAAGAGCGACAGTTGGCCAACTCAACAAGCGCTCCGGTCCCGGCTGTGTGCGTCACTTTTTAGTGTCGCTCTTCCGTTCTGCAGCTTCTTGCAGTGTTTTGTATTTGAAGCGCTTTTACTAAACGCTTTGCATGGGTTGTCAAGATGGTGAAGATGATTCTTCATTTGTATGCGTTTGGGCACATTTGTGTTTTTATATTTACATAATTTCTGAAGGTGCAGCTCGTAAACCTAATGTAAATTTTTTTCGACAGTTATCTTTTTCGTGTTTGCACCTGTCAGACACCGTAGTTATAATAACCTGAAACATTTTTTTTTTTGGTTTTTGTAGAGTGAGCCCTTTTTTGCTCCTGAAGTGTTAAAGGTCACATGTCATGGCCATTTCTACTGATCATATTTCCATTGTTGAGGTCTACTAAAATAGATTTATATTGTGCAATCTTCCAAACTCACATTGGTTTCTCATACAGCATCTCTGTATAGTATGTGGATTCACTCTCTGTCCTAAACGGCTTGTTGGAGCTCCTGCCCCCCCCCCTCTCTGTGAGCCCAGTGTGCTCTGATTGGTCGAGACGTTGAGAGGCTCGTTGCTGCTCGCCGCTGCTGTGAGCTGCTGCGAGGAGCGGACAGGTTTCCGGGTCGGTGATACAGAGAGAAACAGCCAAACTCATCCTGAGCACACACAAACACTCACAGCCGAAGTAAAAACAATAAGTGTGGCTTGATATTGAGTAAGAAAAAGGTTTATAACGCTGTGAGAATGGGTCTGCCGAGAGCATTTCTCCGCCATCCCAACTCGTCTATTACCAGCGTTCAGGGAGCTCTATGCAAGTCATTGGGGACTCCCTTAGCCAAGGGATCCCGGTATGTGAGGTGCGTTCTGGGGCAGCAGAGACAGGTGTTTTCTGTGTTAGAGTTTTACTCGCTACAGGGTGTACTTTGAGGGTTTTGTGACTCTGCAGACCGTTTACATGCAGAAAAACCTTCATAACACACAAGGGGACGGGTAATAACCGGAAAAGCATGACATGGGACCTTTAAAAAATGATATTTTTGACAAGTTACACTGCAACATATATAAAGGACATGGAACAAATAAAACAGAGAGTTGTGTCTTTGGGTTCTTAAAGGGATGGGAGATATTCTGACCATGTGGAGGGATTATTTTCTCTAAAATATATTGCATGTTTAGAGCAGACAAGACACTAATCCAGAATACTGAATATATTAAATAAAAGATGAATAAATGTTTGTATTTTCTGTGCAGATGCTGACGGTGGGAGGCAGCAGCAATCACATCGACGTGTTCACCAACCTGTCGTACAGAGCCTTTTCTCTCAGCTTCTGACTCTCTCTCTCTCACACACACACACACACACACACACACACACACACACACACACATTCTCACTCTCTCTCTCTCTCACACACACACACACACACACACACACACACACACACACACACACACACACACACACACACACACACACACACACACACACACACACACAATGATGTATGCATATCTGTATTTCTTTTTTGGAAAATCACCTGACAACTTTTGTACCATTTAGTCTGAAAATAATAAAATATGTCTCATTTCATACAGTTTTTATAATTATTATGTTCATTATCTCCAAGGTTCCTTCAGTTTAAGGCAAGTTACATTTAAAACATTTTTATCATGTAATTCTGAATTAAATAGAAAGGCTTTACAATAACCAACATTTGAGGAAAAAAACAAATGATGTGGCTTTAGAGAAAAAAAAAAGTCAAAATGTTTATTTGAACATAAAATATTTCCCTATGTTCTTATCTAGGAGACATCAACATTTAAAAGGGACCTTATACTGCTTTTTTTACATTGCATTTAGCTGATGCTTTTATCCAAAGCGACTTACAATAAGTGCGTTCGACCAACAAAATACAAACTTGAAGAAAACAGAATCATATAAGTACATCAGGTTTCATAGAGCCAAAACATTTCAAGTGCTACTCAACAGGCTATAGATAAGCCAGTCCTTTATTAGTATATAAGTGCTTTGTTAGTAATTCTATCGCTCGAAGTGGAGTCGAAAGAGATGAGTTTTCAGTCTGCGCCGGAAGATGTGTAAGCTATCTGCTGTCCTGATTTCAATGGGGAGCTCATTCCACCATTTTGGAGCCAGGATAGCAAACCCACGTGTTTTTGCTGATGGGAACTTGGGTCCCCTCGCAGTGCGGGTGCAGCGAACTGTTTGGCTGATGCAGAGCGAAGTGCACGTGCTGGGGTGTACGGTTTAACCATGTCCTGGATGTAGGAAGGGCCAGATCCATTCGCAGCATGGTACGCTAGTACAAGTGTCTTGAAGTGGATTCTAGCAGTTACTGGAAGGGAGCGGAGGAGCGGCGTGGTGTGGGAGAATTTAGGAAGGTTGAAGACCAGACGAGCCGCTGCATTCTGGATGAGCTGCAGAGGTCGGATGGCACATGCAGGTAGACCAGCCAGGAGGGAGTTGCAGTAGTCTAGGCGTGAGATGACGAGAGCCTGGACCAGAACCTGCGTTGCTTTCTGGTGTCCCAGAAAGCAACGCAGGTTCTGGTCCAGGCTCTCGTCATCTCACGCCTAGACTACTGCAACTCCCTCCTGGCTGGTCTACCTGCATGTGCCATCCGACCTNAAATAACACACTACAGGAAAGAGAAAACAAATAATAATAGGGAGCTAGTTAGAATTAGCATGTAGCTGCCCTAAGTAACTATATGATTCATTCTTGCTTAAAAATAGAATTTGAATAAGGATAAAGTTCATTAGAACATTATCATGATCATAAAGTGATGTTTTTGTGGGTTGAATAAATTCAGTTGTTTGAAGGAAAGCTAATATTATCAAAGCAAATATTTTAAATTGGAACAACAGCTTGCTGGTTGAGCAACATTAAATCTTAATTCTCATTCATTATAATATTCTGATCATGATTATGTATTAACATCAAATGATATGATGTTTGTCTGTGACAAACTCTGTTTATGCCGTCATTTTACCTGTATTTCTTCATCTTCAGATCTCTCTATAAACTGAGATGCTTATCATGATCTACTTGAATAACAGAAACATGTGTTGTTGATCACATGACCCTGTGCTCCTCCAGACGCCAACAACTTCCTGAAGACGGTGCACAGAAACATGACGTCCAAACTGCTGCAGCTCCCCGACAAACACTCTGTGACGGAGCTGCTGAACACCTGGGCGCAGAGCGTCCGGCAGGCCTGCCTGTCTGCCGCCTGAAGCCCCGCCCACTTATGTCTGAAGCCCTGTCCACCATTGCCTGATGCCCCACCCATCACCTGACCCAACCTGCAGACACCTCCTCCTCTCTGTGTTCACACCAACCATTGCATCATTTCCGCTAACTTGCTTTACTGAGTTACTCCATCATGATGGCTATTTGTAAAGAATCTAACTCAATGCAGGACCAAACTGCTTTTGAAATGCTTGTTTTCTCAATGGAGTTTGATCGTGGCTATGCCAACACGTTAGCTGCCTAAAATAACCTCTAAATACGGCTGCGATGTTATTGTTTATACATAGAGATATTAGGCATGCCAAAGTATTTACCCGGTGTTTCATGGATAAACAGCAATTACATTACTCAGGAATAAAACCCATTTGGTGAATAATCGCTGAGGTGTTCAAGGCCCACGTGAATAACCAAAAAACTGAACTTTGTAAAGCGTCAGGGCTACAGTAAAGAGAAAATCAGGGAGAGTTTACTGACAAGACCATGGCAGTATCTAGGTTTAACCAAATGCTAAAAGAGAAACGGATAGTCAGTAAAATGTTGGTATTTTCTTGTGTGGAGGACGTGCAAAGTAAAAAGTATATATTTTTCTTGCTAAATGTCTACTGTAAGTACAGCGTAAGTTATCCGGTGGCCAATGTTCCTCACCCTGGCATCCCTTAAATATATTTCTATGTATAATGTGCATCTCTAAAATGATATAAACTCCACCGCATTTAACAATGACAATAATCTTTCCTTTATTTCTAATTTAACGTCACGCACTTCTCCTTCGAATAGGCAGACGCGTCTTTGCATTGACGTTGATCAGGAAAAGAAAACATTTAATTTATAAAGCACTTTTCAACAACCCAAATAAAGTATACAATAACAAACATTTCATAAAAGCAAACACAAAAACAAGATTCATTGATTAGTTTAAGAAAGTAGTCATTATGAACCAGAAAGCAGTGTAATCTGGTTTGGTGTGGACACAGCGTGAGTCGTCCGCCCCATACACTACAGAACCTGCAGGACTTTTCCTTGTCATAAATGTGCAGCTGTCCCATGAACGCCCCGTGACTGATATCTTGTATTCTGATCCCGACACTTCTCCTGATGCATTCTGGGTAAATTCAGACGTTTGCTCGCCTGCAGAAATTACTTCTTCACGCTGCATTCAGAAGTCCCATAGACAGAAAGCAGATTTTTGCAGCTTGTATATAACATGAACACAAAAAAGGGAAAAAAACAGTAACCGGACCGCCTGAAAGGTCATTTATCCCGATCTATATTCTGCTCCCTGAATGCATCACATTGCTTCTGTTTATTCTGTTTCCTGTTTGAGATGTCATTTCAGTTTTGTACCACAGAAGAGCGCTGTTGTAAAGAAAAAACTCTACTTTGCTTTTCAAATGAAAATTTAAAAATATTTTTTTGCTATCATGAATAAAAACTTTTCTGTTCAACTTTTTAAATATAGAAACCGTTTCAGTCACTGAAGACAAAATATGTACTTTTCTGCAACAGCTTCAGTTTCACTGTTGTTGGATTATTAAAGCAACAATCATTTAACATTTGTTATAAAAACATCAGCTTTATAATTGCTGGATGTAGAGAAGGTAGTTAAAAATAACAAATATTAATCTCAGAAATCTTAAAATAATTGGTAATGATTATAATTAACAAAATATGCCATTAATGTCACTTAAACAAACCCTATTCTGCTCATTTTCAGGTTTATAATTATGTTGTGCCTCTGGGACATCACTTCATACTTTAATGTTCAAAAAGCTCTTTCTTTTTCTCATACTGCCTGTTCTGCAGCACCTCTTTCACCCTCTGTCTGAAACCAGAGCCCAGTCTGCTCTGATTGGTTAGCTGGCCGGCTCTGTTGTAATTGGTCAACTGCTTAGATATGTTCCGCCCCTTAGCCTATCATTTATGATGTGTTGAAGTGCTAGCCAATCGAAACGCCAGTGTAACATAGTGATGTCACTATGTTCGGGAAGTAAACAAGAGTCCAATGGAGGTGTAGCAGGAGGGGAAAATAAAAACAACAATTTCCTCCCTGATCCGATGGGGAGTGGCTAAGCAAGCCACGCATGAGAGCTGGAGGAAGCTAATTAGACAAGTAAGTCACAGCTGTGAGCTGTGTAGGAGAGGAGACACTGAACTCCAGAAAATGGAAGAAGTGGAAGTCTGATGCAGCTTCATAACCCAGTTGGATGTTTGGGGAGTGTTTCTGGTCGTACTGAACCCAGGCGCTCCAACATCCTCCTTTGACCTGCATTCCCGGCCTGCTAAGACTTCAAGGTACGTTTTTCTCTGCATCCTTACAGATTCTCATTCCCCCCCCCTTAAAACCCTACACTCAAACCTGCACCCACACACCACTCTGAACTGTTTGGAGAAATTCCCTCCGGAGGGAGCACAGGGATTTTAGCCTTTGCAGACCATTAACATGCACACATGATGTTATGGAAACATAACACACTACAGGGAAGGGAAAACCCAGAAAGCAAAGGCTGTTCCTAAGGCTGACTTCATCTCTGGCTACGCTTCCCTCTCTGGATTTCCTTGCTCTCACTGAGGCCTGGATTACACCATCCAACACATCCACCCCAGCAGCTCTCTCCACAGCATATTCCTTCACCCATACACCCTGACCCACTGGCAGAGGAGGTGGCACTGGTCTCCTGCTCTCTCCCAACTGGAGCTTTTCCCTCTTCAAGCTACCTAACTTCACTCCTTCCACCTTTGAATTCCATGCCGTCACAGTAAACCATCCTATACAATTAACCATTGTTGTTCTCTACCGTCCACCAGGCGCCTTGGGGGACTTCTTGGAGGAATTAGATAATCTCCTCTCACACATCCCTGAAACTGGCCCTCCCGCTGTACTTCTCGGAGACTTCAACCTCCAGACAGGGAAGATATCTGAACTAACATCTCTGTTAACCACCTTTGCTTTCTCACTGTCTCCATCCCCACTGTTGAGCATATTTGTATAATAACAAAGTCATGTTTCAGTTCATGTGTATGACATCATCAGAAAGTGCCTGAAACGTGGTGATGCTAATGAGCATGCGCTGATACAATAAACGGTCCGTACTCCAGGCCAAACTCTGAGCGATGTGGTCGTGTGTTTTTTCTGTCCGTTAGCATACTTGCAAGATACTTTGGTTGACTGCAAACATGGAGAATTCTGTTGAATATAATGTCTCACGCAACACCCACCAATATTCTCAAGGAACTGCACTACTTCTAACCTCTCCGTAAACCCGCTTCACACATCCGATCACTTCTTCATTTCATTCTCTCTACCCCTTTCCAAACATAACAAACTAATCTCTTGTAATTCTGCACCTGTCCGCCGTAACCTTTGTTCCCTCTCCCCCTCTACCTTTGCCTTATCGGTGCTCTCAGCCCTCCCTTCGTCTAACTCGTTCCAACTTCTGCCTCCAAACTCTGCTGCAGAAACTCTCCTCTCTACTCTCTCATCCTCTCTGGACTCTCTCTGTCCTCTCACATCTCGGCCGGCTCGTCAGTCCCCTCCTGCTCCCTGGCTAAATGACGCACTGCGTGCTAATAGAGCCATCCTTCGGGCAGCTGAGCGGAAATGGTGGAAATCCAAACACCATGTCGACCTCCTAACCCAGGGGTATTCAACTAGATTAGGAAGGGGGCCACAATTGTAAAATGTCTTGAAGGCGAGGGCCACAAGACTGACAATGAAAATGAACAAATGCCATTGTTATTGTACAACCAACCATGCAATAATAAATTATCATTATTATTATTATTGATATTGTTATTATTATTGTAGTAGTAGTAAAATAGGCAACCAAAATAGTAATGTAGGCTACTGTGGCAGATTTGTGGTCTGCTGCGGAATATAAGGAGGGAGAGCGAGACGCAGTCGGGTAAACGGATATTTATTTCACACAAGGTTCCCGAGGTGGCTAAAACAGAACAATCCCTCAACGGGCAAATGATAACTGGCAGGGGTCTGGATTCTCGTCCTGGCGTAACGTTCGTCTTTCCGTCTGTCCGCCAGTCTCCTACTGAGAGAACAAAAACACACGTGGTTAAATACCACCGCATTCCTATCATTCTAATCCACTTGACAGCTACGTCAATCCCAGGCAATTAGCCGCTCCGCCCCCTGCTTTACAACCTGCCGCTAAACCACGCCCGCCCCCCCATACCACAGCTACTTTATTCTAATGAATCCATATAGATTTGTGTATTATAACACCAAAATGCTGGGTGGCAACAAATACCAGAAAACAATGCTAGGCCTAGGATAGCAAATGCGATCAGTAAGAGGCACAGGAGGCCTAGAAGTCCGAGATTAACAAAGATGCAAGCATAGGCAGCGTCCCATCATTACAAAATAAATGAAAATAGAAGCTACCTGACAAATCAGTGTGAGAAGTTGCATTTCCGAGCCATAGCCAGTTTGCTGAATTCAGGTCGGTGCGAGGTCAGAGCAAGCTGCATGCACTGGTTGAGATGTTCATCCGTGAGTCGATTGCGATGTTGATTCTTTATCAAGTTCATTGTCGAAAATCCGGACTTGCATATGTAAGTAGATCCAAACATGGTTAACAGGTAGATAGCCAGTCTCCGGCAGTGATGAAACTGATGAGTAGAATGAGCCCAAAACTCGCACAGTCCCTCTTCTCCGAATTTTGCTTTCAGCACATCAGAGCTCTGAATTTGCACCAACTCCAGCTGGAATGCAGCCTCGTCAATACCGGGCATCACGGCTTTCGCCTCGGCTGGACAGGACCCGGAAACATCGACCGCAAATGGATTGCGCACAAATAAAAGAACCTGTTTTGGAATCTTGAAGTCGTTGAATCGCTCTGAGAAGTTTTCAGCCAAGCTTTTCAAAAGTCCCTTCATTCCAGCCATTGCTGCGCTGCTCACGGGGACGTTGCGTAGTGTTGGGAAGTGGATCTTCCTCCCCATTACGTCAGGTAGAAAGAGGTCCAGGTTCACCCGAAACGCACTAACCTTCTCAATGATCTCAGCCACACTTGACCCTCCCCCCTGTAGCTGCAGGTTGAGTGTGTTTAGGTGGCCCATGATGTCGCACAAAAAGGCAATCTGTCCAATGAAATCCGGCTTTTGCATGCGTGCAAGTAGGTCTTTAGCTTTGCTTGATTTCTGGCTTGAGAGGAATTCACTCACCTCCTTTCGCAGTGCAAAGAAACGTTCGAGAACACGTCCTCGGCTCAACCAGCGGACATCGTTATGTTGCAATAGGTCTGAGTATGCGGCTTCCTGCTCTTGAAGCAGCATTTTGAACAGTCGGTGCTGCAGACTTGACGTCGAGCGAATATGATTCACAATTTTTACGACAGTCTCCATTGTTTCTTTCAACTCCCCTGACAATTTCGCACACAGAACTGATTGATGTATGATGCAATGCAGTGTGTTCACTGTGGGATGCTCTGCACATAAGCGAGATGCAAAGCCCCTTTCTTTCCCAATCATGGACGGGCAGCCATCGGTAACGAGAAGGTTGATCTTACCTAGATCCAAACCTTTCTCTTCAAAAAAACTCCAAACTGCAGCGAAAATCACTTCACCTGTAGTGCTGGTTGTCAGTGGTAAAAGGCATAACAACTCCTCTTTAAAAACGTCACCATCGAAGTACCTCACAAACAGCGAGAGCTGTGGGCTTGTGTTCCACAGCGCCGTGCCGACTTTCTGTGCTGTCACGCCCTGTGTGGTTAGACTCATCCGCACAGCTGCAGTATGCTGCCGGTTTTTACCGAACCACACCAGGCCCGGAATTGTACGAAGTTGTATTTTTGTATCTTTGATTAAGTTGAGTGAAGTTATTGGTATTGATTCTTATTGTTAAATTGTTATTTTTTATTATCTTTCTTTTTTACAAATTGATAAATATTTATGTTTCAGGTTTTGATTCTTCAATCTTCGCAAAGCTATTTTTCGTCTACTACTACAAAGGACTACGACCCAAGTTGTCAAACTGTGACGGGAGACACACACCACACACACACCACACACCACACAACACACACACACACGACACACACACAACACAACACACACACACAACACACCAACACACACATCACACACAACACACACCACACACACACACACACACACACACACACACACACAGAAGTACTTGTCCTGCCACACAAACCAACGACGACTCCAGTGTCGAGACGAGGTCTAGGTGTCAGACGACGAGTGGACAGGACTCGTCGTCTGACACCTAGGGACGTCCTGGACAGTATTTTTGTGGACTTTGTGTACAATTGAGACACACCGTAGTGACGTGTACGTGTGTGTGTGTGTTGTGTGTGTGTGTTTGTGTGTGTGTGGTGTGGTGTGTGTGGGTGTGTGTGTGTGTGTGTGTGTGTGGTGTGTGTGGTGTGTGTGTGTGTGTGTGTATTGTGTGTGTGTGAGTGTGTTGTTGTGTGGTGTGTCTTTTCTCTTTGGTCACGTCTTGACGGAATGTTGGACGTAATAAAGATTATAGGTCTGAGGATTTCAGTGAAATCCAAATACAGAGTAGACAGGAAACGTGAAGAACAAAATAAAACCATAGATGGAAAATCAGATCGAAGGTCTCCGGGAAATGAAGGAGGGGGTAACACACAAAGGGCGGTTGGTATACTGTTCTCTTGACACACTTAAAAGGTATATGACACTTTCTGGTTGGTCATTTTAGTCATTTGAGGTATTGTTCGTCAATTTGGTATCCTCGCTAATAAGTTCGTTTCTGGAAGGCACACATTTAGAAAAAAACGAGTTTCAAAGGAGTCTCCGTAGGTAGAGAATAAGTAAGTGAGGTAAGTAATTCAGTCGAGTAGATGCAGGGTGAGGCATAACTAGCTAATTGTGTTATTTTTCTATTGTCAGTTTTGACATAGCACACCTTTTTGGGGCCGACCGTGTTAATCCTCGTCTATTGGGAACAAATCTCCAGTTCTTTTTAATAAATACGGGCTCAGTCCAAATGCGGTTCGACCGACGGCTTCTACGTTACTTGCGACTTATTTATTTAGTAGAAGGTAGTCCGAGGGTAGTGAGTGATTGTTGACAAGAGTTCCACTTGCAAAGATTGTGCACAAACACCTACAAAGATGCTTTTTGTTTTGTAGGTGTTCGTCAGCACGAAGTCCACACAACAAGATTGCTTCTCGTGTAAATAAGTACTTCACTAAGGACCAACAAAAAGTACACACTGAAGGAACCATGAACAACTTATGCGGGACGAGATTACGCCTTACCTGAAGAACGACCTATATTAGATACAATTTACTACCAGGTTGTCAGTTTTTGGTGATACTCTTGGTTTGTCCAAACCTACATAAAAGACGGTCGGACGACTTATAACCTTTAACTAGCAAATAACGTAAAGTAGTATGCACTGATTTTAAACCACAACCACTCAAAACAATGTCTGTCTATCACGGGATCGACTGTGCTGATATCCAGTAGTGGCTGCGTTGTAATCAGTGGCAATCGAATCGCCACCACTGCACTTCAGTACACTGGGCACGACATCAGCAATGACTATCGGGTCACGTGTAGATGGTGCAAATCGAATCGCAACCACTGCACTTCAGTACACTGTGCACGAAATCATCTACCTCGGAAATATCGAGTTGTAATTGGTCACTCCAAATATCGCCACCACTGCACTTCATACACTTGCACCGTACATAAACGAATGATCTGACTATTCTGTGGATATCTTAATCGGTCACCACCTGCACTTAAGTACGCCTATCGGCACAACTATGATAAGGGTAAATTCGGGTTCCGTAATCTTTGCAGGATTTCTCCTCGACCACTACACATACTGTACGTACTGGCACTACATGAACTGAAATATCCTAGCTTGTACATTCACCTAAAGTGAAGGGTCATTTTAACCAGGTGCACTTCAGTACAGCTATTCTGTGCTCTCCGATAGGTTAGTCGAGTGACACATACCGAGAGATCTATATACGCACCACTATGTACTTCTCGTAGAAGACTATGCTGTTACACAAAATAACGACTGTAAAATATCTGAGTTTTTATTGAGGTTCAAAGATAAAACTACGAATATTGTCCAAACATACGGACTAACATGTTTTAAAATTTCCAACATAAGGAAAATTTTAGGGAACTTAACATAACGAAGATAAATTATTGTATTATTTCGAACGTTACGTTGTATAACTCATGAGAGTTGATTCTAGATGAAAACGGTCCAAAAAGGAAAAATAGAAACGTCTATGATAGAAACACGGTCACGCCACAGGACAAAATCGACGGTACATAATACGTAACCAATTTCTGACAGACATTGACTTGAAACGACTTCGAAACGAGGGTCGTAACTCAATCACGATAATACTAGAAAAAAATACTTGTTAAAACTTAACGCGAAATACCATTACACGGAACGGTGTTTTCTCAAATGCAAAGCTAAAAAAATAGAAAGTATAAGTCTACTGTTAAACCAAACAAAAGTCCAACATCCGTAGTTAATTGTTGTGGACAATGAGACTGACTGAGGTTTGGACCAACAGCTATTCTTTCGAAAAAGAGACAGAAAGAGAACATAATATATTCACAACCATGAGAATTTGACAGTTTCGAGTAATATATTTTGAAACAAAATCTGTTGCTTATGTGATATCGGAAATACTCGAGCTTCCCGTATGAGATTAAGGTAACTGAAGTGTACATTTAATTTAAAGAATGTGGTATTAAGGGCTGGATGACACTTCTTATTTATTTGTAATGTATTGTTAGTATTGTGATAGACTTTTCTGAGTTTTGACTAGACGTCTTTAGAAAGGGATGGGAAGACAACATGAAGAAAATGATTTTCTACCCTTATTAGTGTAACTCGTATGCGTGTGTAGTCCACATGGTGGAAATAAGTAAGTAGTGTTGATTAACCGCGTAAAGTGATGTCGCGCCAGGAGCGAATTCGCATCGGCACTCGGCACGCCCCGGGCAAAAACCATACGCAAAGGTGACCGGATTCACGGCCGATCGCGTCCCTATAAGTTGACTCGAAAGAGCACCGGGGACCTTGCGTGAGGTATAAAGGTTATATTTTTTTTTAAGATTAATGTCTTAAATAAAAATATTAGTAAATTTATTTAACATTTATATACAGCCGTAATACAATAGGCTTAATTTACTCAGGTTTAATAAAGAGGAAGTTATCGAGAATTTTCCGTTAGAACGTAACCTGGACTAGTCGCACATTAATAGCGCTATAGCACAGTTAGAGCAATGAGAGCAATGACTAGGTTTTACTCGCCTCTCTTTGCCGCCTTTTTAACTGCCACTTTTGGCTGTGAAGTTGGGGTTTACCTGACTACTAAAACATAAATAAAATGGTAGCGTGCGGGTTAGGATCTGGAAATACAAATTATACAGTTTATTGACAAAGTCAGACGTTCCCAACGATTACACTCCGCGGTGATACTCCTACGACGATTGAAGTTACGACGGAATGGGCGGACCACATCGTGTCGATCTGCACCATTTTATCTTTATGAATTTAGAAGAATGTGACGTAGTTGGTGATAAGAATGTTGACGAAGATGTCGGGTCCTTTTCCGGTGACGACGAAGGGATGCTCACTACAAGGCGAAATCGGTTTTTCTCTTTCGGTAAGTGACTGCGACTTCAACACTTCCTCACATGAGAACTCTACCACCTACTTGAAAAACGTCCTCTATTTTTGTTCCTTATATATTACTTGGCAAACTTCGTTCATGGCGAGAAACTGTGTAGCCCTTCAGCTTCTCATCTCCCATGACAAACTCTGACAAAAAGTCGTAATTAACGGCTAGAGTTTAGCTGTCTCATGTACAGTGAGCGACAGCTACTTAGCTGGCTACGT